AATGTAAAAAGAGTACTGGATACCAGAAACCAAAGCCAGACATCTCCGCAGAACATGGCATGATGTGACACCCAACCACCCCCAGACACTCCATGTGTCTCTCTCCCCTAGCCCCTCCATGTGTGTCTCTCTCCCAACCACCTTCAGCTGCTCCATGTGTCTCTCTCCCCTAGCCACTCCAGCCCTCCATGTGTCTCTCTCCCCTACACCCCACCCCCTCCATGTGTCTCTCTCCCCTACCCAGGGCCGCACCGGCCCACCGGAAAATTTCCCGGTGGGCCGCGGCACCTGGGGGGGCTGCATGTAGAGAGGGAGCCCTGCTCCCTAATATTTTAATAATATCGCGGCCGCCGGCCGCATGTCGGTGCCACCGGGTGGTCGGTCCGGCGGCACACTCTGAGGGGGTCATACTTACCTTGCGGCCGGCGGCCCCATCTCCTGTGCTGACAGCTGTCAGTATCAGTGAGTGTGCCGGGCGGCCGCCTAAGCGATCCAGCAGAACACTCACTGATACTGATGCGGCTGTCAGCACAGGAGGACTGAGGGAGGGGGCGGAGCTAACTACCATGCTCCCTCGCGGTTCCCAGAATTCCCAGCATGGACACATCATAGAGTAAGGATTACTGTATGATGTGTAGATGCTGGGAATTATGGGTACCGCGAGGGAGCATGGTAGTTAGCTCCGCCCCCTCCCTCAGTCCTCCTGTGACAAGGTCAGAAGGGACACAGAAGGGGGGGAGTTAAAGAGGGGAAGGGGGGAGACAAATAGAGGGGAAGGGGGGGACAAATAGAGGGAAATGGGGGACAAAGAGGGAAATGGGGGACAAATAGAGGGAATGGGGACAAATAGAGGAATGGGGAGACAAATAGAGGGGAATGGGGGACAAATAGAGGAGAATGGGGACAAATAGAGGGAATGGGGACAAATAGGAGGGTAAATGGGGACAATAGAGGGAATGGGGGGACAAACAGAGGGAATGGGGGACAACAGAGGGAATGGGGACAAATAGAGGGAATGGGGAGACAAATAGAGGGAATGGGGGACAAATAGAGGGAAATGGGGACAAATAGAGGGGGGACAATTTGGGGGGACAAATAGAGGGAATGGGGAGACAAATAGAGGGAATGGGGGAGTCAAATAGAGGGGAATGGGGGGACAAATAGAAGGTAATGGGGGACAATAGAGGGGAATGGGGAGACAAATAGAGGGGAATGGGGGGACAAATAGAGGGGTAATAGAAACACAGGGGAAGGGGAGACACAGAGACTGAGGGGTAATAATAGAAAGACACCAGGTTGGGGTGGACGACCAAGAGACAGAGGGGTAATAGAGAGACCTAGGGCAAGGGGGGACACAGACAGATGGGGTAATAGAGAGACAGGGGATGGGGGGACAAAGAGACAGAGGGGTAATAGACATAGGGGTTGGGGGGACAAAGAGAGGGGTGATAGAGAGACACAGGAGAAGGGGGGACACAGAGACAGAGGGGTAAGAGAGAGACACAGGGAGGAGATGGCTAAGAGAGACACACAGAAGGTTTGTTGGGGGGACAAAGAGACATACAATAGGGAAGGGGAACAAAGTGACACAAGATTTGTGGGAGGCAATGCTGGGCTGGGGGAAAAGAGACAGAGAGTGACTGGGAGAAGAGAAAGAGGCACACACAGTCTGGAGTTAGAAAGAGACACACATGAGATTTGGAAGGGGAGAAAGAGACAAAGTGGCTGGGGCTAAGAACAACACAAAAGTGGCTGGGGGAAAGAGAAATACAGAGGCTGGAGAAGGGTAAAAAGAAACACACAGGGACTGGGATGAAGTAAAAGATGCACAAGGGTCGCTGTAAGAGAAAAAAAGGAGACAATTGGAGATAAGATACACTAAACGAGGTAAAGGTAATAGACGTAAATTGATGTGATCCTGACAGTAATGCACACACATATATATATATATGCATGTATATTGATATGTGTATTAGTAACATATAATTATGCCTATAGTATTTACACATTTAGTAATATACATTTATATATGCATAATACACACATAAATGTCATTAATATATATATATGTAATGAGCACGTATTGGCCCAGTCTTGTTGCTAGTTGCATACTCATGCACAATAACACATTCAAAGTGAAGAGCACACCCATAGAACTTCAAATGAACCAGTTCACTTCATTTTTTTAGTTGTGCAACTGCAGACATTCAGCATTTCAGTACCATTACTAAAATGTCCTTAATAGGCCAAAGTAGTTTACTGAAACATTGATTACATGCAAATGTACATCTACTTAAAATAAAGGCACTCTTTTGTTTATTTTGAAGCCCTATATGTGTTCCTTCGTTGGAGTAAGAGTTTTCAATTTCAAGTTATTTTTTCACCCTCTTTATCAGCACACTATGCTGGCGCGACGCATTATTGGGCTGGTATAGAATTTTTTTCCGCTGCCGTGATACCCGTCTAACAGGAAGTGCTCTCTCAGTAAGCATTTCCTGTCAGCCACGGCAATCAGCAAGAAGGGAGCAGCACAGCATAGTGCTCCTCTCCTGACGGTCACCAGGCATTTGCAGGCCCTGGGATGGAGCGGCTGTGCATCGGCCCTAAAGTTAAGCCGGCAGCCCGTGGTCGCAGGGCCCAGTTGCAGCTGCAACCCCTGTACATACTTTATCCAGACACCAAAAGTATTTCTTTTATTACACACTGATCGACCACATCATTAAAACCACCTGCCTAATATTGTGTAGGTCCTCCTTGTGCTGACAAAACAGATCTGATGCATCGAGGCATGTACTCCACAAGATATTGTGTCCTGTGGTATCTGGCACCAAGACATTGGCAGCAGCTCCTTTAAGTCCTGCAAGTTGCAAGGTTGGGCCTCCATGGATCAGATTTGTTCCTCCAGCACATCCCACCGATTCTCAGTTGGATCCTAACACTGCCTCTGCCGGCTATTGCGCGGACTTCGTCAGGAGTATTTCAGTAAGGCTGCAGACTTACTGAAATACCCCAGAGGAAGTCCGTGCAACAGCGGACGAAACGCTTAGGACTGATTATATATTGATTTTGATTTGTTTTTATATTGTTATGCTGAATACTGGGATTCCTCAAGTAACTTAATCATCTGGAACACCGCTTAGGAGACGTTGCCCTTGCTGTGGATCCTGTAACAAGTATATCTTGTAGATGTGCCTTTGACCATTTGAAAATTTGTGAGTGGAATATTAAAGTTCTTGTTTTTAATACTGTTTTGCAATATATTTGTCACTTTATGCTCATATATGTACTACTGAGAATATTGGGAGCTGGAACACAAATGGATCCCTGACACAGTGATTATTTGTCCTGCCTGTTAACTACCTGCGTTTGTGAGTGCAATAATCCACTTTTTATTTTATGGTATTTACATTATATTACACTATATGTGATATTTATACTGTGGATTTTTGTAGTTTATATGATCATAAAAAAAACCTGATTCATCAGACTTCCATTATTCCATGGTGACGGTCTGATGCACATTTCCCCATTGGAGGCACTTTTGGCGTTGGACAGAAGTCATCATGGGCACCCTGACTGGTCTGCGGCTATGCAGCAAACTGTGATATTCTGTTTGTGCACACACCTTTCATTCATGGCCAGCATTAAGATTTTCAGCAATTTGAGCTACAGTAACTCCTATAAGTGATTGGACCACACAGGTTAGCCTCCGCTCCCAATATACATCAATGAGCCTTGCTTACCCATGACCCTGACGCTGTTTTTTTGTTTGAGCTGTTCCTTAATCTGTATTTTGTATAAATGTTGGTCATTATAGCAGCACACAGTTGAGAAATACATGTTCCAGGTGTGTACTCAATACTCATTTATACTATACCAGTTTGTTGAAGATGCTCTAAACCAGTCGTCTAGCCATCACTATTTGACCCTCAGCAAAGTCACTCATATCTTTTCACTTGCCTATATTTCCTGCTTTCGACGCATGAAATTCAAGAACTGACTGTTCACTTGCTGCCTAATATATCCCACCCTTTGGCAGGTGTCATTGTAACGATATAGGAGTTAGATAAAGGAAATCCCACTAACCAGGCTGCCCACGTTAGATATATGAAATAAAGTGGTGGTCCAGACACACACACACTCACTAACAGACACACACACTCACTCACTCACTAACAGACACACACACACACTCACTAACACACACACACTCACTAACCGACACAAACACTCTAACAGACACACACACATACACTAACACACTCACATTTTTTTTTTAAATTCAATCCCCCCAGCCTCCTTACTTTTGGGAATGCTGGGGTGGATTCTCGTTTCCCTGGGCGGCCAGCCGGCCCGTGACTGCAGGCAGCGAGGGAGCACTGATCCTCCTGTTCAGTTCTCTTGCGCGCCGCAGAGTTATGCTGGGAGCTAGAATATGACATCATATTCCGGCTCCCGTCATCACTCTGCGGCGCGCGAGGGAGCTGAGCAGAGTGCTCACTAATCAGTGCTCCCTCGCCAGCGCTGCCCGCCCACCTGGATTGTCAGTGAGCCACCAGGCTTTTTTGTTGCCCCCTGGAAAGTGCCGCCCAAGGCAAATGCCTTGTTTGCCTCGTGGCTAATACATCTCTGGTTAATCCCCTTCACAATGTTACGGGCAAATGCAAATATTACAAGTTTTAGAATGAAATGTTGTATTTCTTAAACTGTGTACTTTGTCTTTAAGAGATATTGCAAACTGACAAGGTGTTAGAAATGGAACATATTGTTTTTCATAGATGTTTCTTTATGCAATAACCTCAGTGCATAATATGTTTGCGCCATTTTGTCCCAGACAAATTACAATAACAATAATGCATAAACAAGCTTCAAGGCTATACTACGACACTTGCAGTACACAATATACTGTGGTAACCCCAAGTTAATGGAACTTCACCAAATCCGGGAATCTCCCACGACTGTACACTTACGACTTAGTATAAACAACAGATAACCTATTCAGACTTTAAGATGCCATCTTGAACTAAGTCAGGAAAATTTCCATGACGTATACACCCTTTAGTTATGGCCTTGTATGTTTGCCAAATTAAGGGAGGTCCTAAATTGAATAAAGTAAAAGAAGTGTTACTTTTTCATATTTGAACTACAGTAACCTAAAATGGAGACACATAAGGTATAAATAGGTGTACTTTTAAATGTTAAGACACAGAGGAGAGACTTGGAGACAGACGCTGCTCCATCTTAAAATGACAGAGAGGCTGACATGATGACATGTTCAGAAGGGTATGTTAACCTATTAATGATATTTGCAAGCATGTAATTTAATCTTATAAACTCTGCTATAATGGATTTTATATTTTTATATAATAAATATCCAAAAGACAAAACGATTGCTTCCAAGACAATCCTTATTTTATATTGTATTCTCAATTATTTATATATGTTAAATAGAGGATCTCTTACACTATATAAAATTATGGCTAAGATATCTGTATGGTTAGCCCTACTAAGTTCTATGCTTTAAGACATTATAGTGGTAAATAAGGGAACCACCAGCGGTTACAACAAACTCTGGTGTGGTATATACACATAGGAGACACAAACAAAGTAACAAGGATAGTGCAGATGAGTTTTGTTAATGTTCATAACTTTAAGTTGAAAACGAAAGTTGCTCAACTGGTTTTGGAGCCCATAAATGACTGGCTCCAAGTTTGTACACCTACTTGCCAATGTTAGGAGTGGCAAGGAGCTCCCTTTAGATGTAGATAGATATGGAACAGATGGTCCAGAGGACTTAGAAGTAAATTAAACGTTTATTATTTTACAAAGTAAATAAAAGGTACTCCACTAGGGAGATAAACACGAAACAGTTTAAAAAGCATATAAATATACAATTTATCAGTCCTCCTGGTGTCCGAGGCGCGTTTCGCCCGCTATGCAGGCTTTTTCAATGCCGACTTACTTTATATTGTATATACAAGTTTATACCAACGATACTGTACCATTAGGTTTTCTTTGCAATTTTTCTTTTCAGTCACATATGAGAAACGCCCCATGTTGTATGGGTAAGCTTGTTTAGCGCTGCACTATACTCTACTGTGTGTGTATCATCTAAACCTGGTTCCCACACAGAGTGTTTCCTTTTTTACACTATTGTTTTTCTGGGTAAAGAGGAGTAACCCAAAGAGTGCTACAGCTGCTAACACATTTGACACACTTTACCTTTGACACATTAAGCACCCTGAATCACACAAACAAAATCTCTCTTTTTTGCACAACTAGGTCTTGCAGAAGCTTTTTAACGATATAGTCATTGTTATTTACCTGTTGGTGGTTTTAATGTTGTGGCTGATCCATGTATGGGTGGACTGGGGCAGATAATACACTCCTCATATGTTATTTTTGTAGCTGTTGGATTTGTTTTATTCTTGGGATTCTATAGTTTTTGAACAACATGAACTGTTCTAAGTAACTGCTTTGATTTAAATTTGTTAGAAGGTATTTGTACTACAGTATACTCAATATGAGTTCCACACATATAGTGTTTGCAACTCAGGCCTCAAAATACTCCAACCTGGACAGTGATTTTATACATGAATGGGGGATGATTTCAGCAGATGTGCATTTCATAAGCGACTTGTAAATGGGTTGCATACTTTTCAGGCCTCCATATCCGGTGCATAGGGTAAAGAACATTGAAACCTTTAGAAGACTTCACATTCCAAATCATTGCAATTTTGGGATTTCCCCTCCTTTAATGGGATATTCTAGTTCTATTTGAAGTGATGCAATTATACTATAGCTGAGTCTTTAACTCAATTTCCAGATGAAATGTCAAAATTTTACTTTTGTGTAGGAAGATAGATCACCAGAAGTGCTTTGGATCCACATTCTCCTTGAAAAAAAAAGGGTCTCTTTATCATTGTGTACAGTCTTCCTTTATGTATGTATTTGAGATTGTTTTCTTTTCTTTCAACATTCAATATAATTTAGAGTGGCTCTGTCACCTCAAATTTACCTTTCCTGGCCATATCCATGGCAGCACTTACTCATCAGTTTAGATCCCCTCAGCTCCTTTTGGACAGGTTAAGCCCTCTTCCCGAATTCCCCAGTCCTTTTCCTGTCCACAATCGGACTATTCAGTCATTTTAAGATTTACTTCTAACTCACTAGGACCTGTTTAGGTTATTTGCCCAGGTGAAGTTCTGGCGTCTCTCTAGGGCAACTGCATACAATACTTCATCTAGGCGGCCTCCTACAGAATCCCCTTAGCGATCAGGGAATGTTTAAGTTTTCTCCTCCATATCTTACCCCTACTGCCCAGGCCGTCCCCTATTGTGTCTCCTGCATCCTGCAAGATATGGCAGTAGATCGCACTTTAGAGGACAAAGGCAAGTCTAATTTTTTCGTCTCATGTATTATATATACAAAAGAGTTTAAAGTGATGTTGTATTTATAATCATATCACTTCAGTTTATCTCGAGGTCACCAGGAAAACAATATGACAAGAAAACAAATGATGTGAGGCATGCAGAAAATCTACTTTACCAGAAAAGAGGTTGTTTGGAAAATGTATCCAGTAGGCAGCAGGTACTTCTACCTGATCTCCTGATATGTTGGCTTTTGTTAAAGGACCACTATAGTGCCAGGAAAACCCTCCCGCCCGGCTCTGGAAGGGGGAAAGGGGTAAAAACTTACCTTTTTCCAGCGCTGGGCGGGGAGCTCTCCTCCTTCTCTCCTCCTCCGTTCCGCCCCGCCGGCTAGCTGCGCGCGCATTCAGCCGGTCACACAGGAAAGCATTCTCAATGCTTTCCTATGGACGCTGGCGTGCTCTCACTGTGAAAATCACAGTGAGAAGCACGCAAGCGCCTCTAGTGGCTGTCAATGAGACAGCCACTAGAGGATTAGGGGAAAGGCTTAACCCATTAATAAACATAGCAGTTTCGGGGGCGTGTCCAGCTTCCGGTGTGTGCAGTCGCATGGCTTAGGAGCTCCGCCGTCTACCCGACCTAAAGCAACTCTATACACAGCGATAATCTACAAAAATACCCGAACCTAAACACTATACTCGTCCAAGCGGGTGTAGGGTCGCATCATGCCTCCTACCAAACAGTTGAAGCTGTCGGACACAGCTAAGATGAAAAAGTCTGAACGTCGCAAAGAAATCCAAGATGGCGACGAAACGCCTAACGTATCGGATGGTCAGTCCGACTGTGAGTCGAGCTCCTCCAAGTACCCTGAAGCTCCAGTAACGGAACGCAGTTTACACAGGATGTTACAAGAGCTCAGGGCAACAATTACAGCCGATTTCCACCGAATTAACGGTGATTTAAGGAAAGAAATTTCTAATATTGGAGACAGAACCAGCAACTTGGAAAACAAAACAGATGAACTCTGTGTAGCCCACAATGAGGTAGTGGATAAAATTCAGAAGCTGTCTGAAGAAAACTATTCACTCAAATCTAAACTTGCCGATATGGAAGACAGATCAAGAAGGCAAAATGTCCGGTTCCGTGGAATTCCGGATGATATATCTCATGACGTCCTTCCAGCCCATATACTCTCAATCTGTAAGGCCTTAGTCCCGAGCCTACCGGACTCTGCTTGGGCCTACGACCGCATGCACAGGCTACCGAAACCCGCTCGCATATCTGCTGAGGTCCCAAAGGACGTTATTGTACGATTTCACTATTATGCGCATAAAGAATCTTTATTACAGGCAGCAAGAAAAGCACAATCACTTCCAGAACCCCACCAACGGGTTGCATTATTTGCTGACCTATCGGCGGCTACAATGGAGAAACGGAGAGAATTCATCACAGTCACGAAGACTCTTAGAAATAACAACGTAGTCTACAGATGGGGTTACCCCACTAAATTAATTATTTGGCGACAAGGCAGAAACTACACTGCTAAAGATTCGGCGGAAGGAATGAAGCTGATTACAAATTGGGGGTTATGGAACGGCTCACCTACCCATCTTGTTACAACCGAACAGGCTTCCCCACGACGACTTCAAGAGGACTGGCAAATGGCGAAATCTCCAGCCAAGATCCCCTGAACTTTCACGTTGTGCATATATATAGGAAGACCACGTTGGCATACACTTAAGTATTTTAACCGTTACTTTGTACACAACACTGAATGTTTATATTTTTCTAGCTATACGCTGCCTATTAAAATATACTGATACAGGCAGAATATCTGCGCCCAAATGGTACATGCCCATTTCATCTTTGTTTCGGGCTGTCTGTTTATCAGGAGAGACCTCCACTTAATTACCTAATTATTGTAACGTCCTTATGAGATAAGTTCCCTTCACTTCTCACGTACCAGGGACATATCTTAAGGTCGAAAATGGTGAAATTGGTGCAAGCAGCGGTCACCGTTGTTGGGCGATTGATGTTTTCACAACTAGCTAAAGCTTTAACTTCACCAGTATAACTTATACCCTATTAACACACACAAAAGGGAACTCCCCTAATCTCGGGTCTTCTCTAAGTGTGATCCTTACCTAATGTTTCTATGTTTAATTTTATGTTTTTCTTTCTAACACATATACTTTTGCAATACTGTTTATGTATGTACTTTAATAAGAATCATTGAGGTAATGCGGTCTCAAGCCTGTCATCGTGCACAGCACGTTACTCCAGATTCAATTTTAGCTCAAAACTTTTACCAACCGCGTGTACAAGTGGTGTATTCCCAACTAAATTTCCTCCATGATTCTCACGTGTGCAAAGAATATGCGGAGACACTATGTTTCATCGCTATATGCCCAATATGGGGTGACTTATTATTCTAGATTTTTATATGTATGGTATTACTACAGTTAATACTATGTGTAACGTTGTACAAATCTTTCATAGGTCGGGAGGAGCCTCAAAGTCCCTCCCTGAGTCACTTATGGGCCAAATTTTCTGTGCCTTTAAGTTGACCGAGTTTGATACCCCCAGAAGGGGTTCTGTTTGTATATACTTTAGTTTTTGTTGTATTTTACTTCCTTGCTCTTCCCTTATCCCCCCCCCCCTGTTCTACGCCTAGACCTTACTAACCATGTTGCCTCCCAGGTAACCCCATCATCTATGAACGACAAGTTTTTCTTGCATCGTTATGGTACATCTAGAGGGGAGCACCGACGTTGCACCAGTAGCAGGGACGATTGGCTTTCTGTTAGAGGTACTCACTTACACCTACATACTCCAGGACACTCATGGCT